ACTCACCATTTTTTTAAGGGTATTTTTTTTTTTTTTTTTTTTTTTTTTTTTTTTTGTGGTATAAAGAGTTTTATATGCAGAGAATGCTGCAGGTGCAGCTACATTAAATCCTGCTTCAGGAAACAGGCTTAACAGCCATATATTTAATTTTAACACAGTAAAGCTATTTTTATATCTGCTTTATAGTTTTTTCTAAATATATATTTTTATTGGTGAAACAGTAACTTTGTATCCCATCAGATTCTGAGTGCCTATTTAAGTGATTGATAGTTGAACATGTTAAACATTTCTTTAAATTGGGGGAGAATCAAGAGAAGTATGAGAGAATGTGAATTAATAGTAAAGAATAATTAGAGTTCAATTTTGTGTTTAAAATCTATACTTATTTGATGTAGGGTATAATATATATATATTATTTTGATGAATAAATTATTCTGCACAACACCTTTAAAATGCAAGGCAGATCATCCTTACAGAAACCTCAATTTTCAGGGAGAAAATTAAAAATACAGTAAAAATGGTGACAGTTTAACGTCTTTGATAAAGACACTTCATACATTTTTTGTTGTTATTTGAAAAAGATAATGCAAACTGAGAGTATTAAATGCCAGGTACACACTGGATTCCATAGCCTGAACATTAAAAAGTTCTCCAAGTTATTGCAGAGAGGTTTGTATTAGACCCAGAGCCTAATATGAGATTAACACAGGGCAGCACAAGGCCTCAAGCCAGGGTTCACTGCGCTGACTCTGGAATTAGCAGCCACAGAACTTCATCAGTGCTGAAGAAGTAAAATTAATAAATTTTGGTAGGGCAACAGGCTGACACAACTAGATGCTTCTGGGCCAGGAGACATTACTTTCTTTGAATGCTGGGTTGCACAAGGTGAAGTTACCTTTCCTCCCATTCTCATCAAGGTATAGAAGGACAACTTAAAATCTAGACCACTGAAAGAAGAAGGGAAGCAGAGAAAGTGAAAACCCTACGCCTAAAAATATGCAAAACATGCAAGCTCCTTGGCATGTTGATGCAAATTCAGGATATTTTGAAGGAAGCTTCTGGTTTACTTTGCGGAGGTTCATCTGTTGCTTCTCATAAGTGTCAATTATTGTAACCCTCAGGCTGCCTGCTGGACCTACAGAGGAGGAGCAGCCACAAAAAAAAAAAAACCCAAACCCTCCCTTGCAAGTCATGTGCAAGTTCAGACAAAGATGTGATAAAGGGAGATTAAGAATATTGAATTTTTTCCATAGTGAAGTAAAAAGCAGTGAGCATATCTACCTAAGGTAAAGTTATCAGCCATGTATAGCTTATCACATACACTGCCAAGCACAAAACATACATTAAAGTAGAAAAATACATTACTTTCTATAGAATATAATGAAGTTTTAATATGAGAAATATAAGAAAAAGCACTCTTAGTAGCCAAATTTGTAACTGGATACTGTGGTCACTGTGAGCAGAGTCACCATCTGCTAAAGTGTATGTTCCAAAAGGACACCTTCCCAGTGCTTCTTTCAACTCATGAATTTATAAATGTTGTATTCTTTCTCTAAGACGCAGCAGACTTCTAAAGCAGCTTCCAGCAGTGTCTGAATGCTCAGTAACACATCTACCACTAGTAGAAAAATTGCAATCTCTGTATTACAAAATCACACAGAAGTGTTGTGGTGAGAAGGGACCTCTGGAGGTCATCTGATTCAACCTCCCTCACACTTAGCTGGGTGCACCTAGGGCAGCCTTCCCAGAGCTGTATCCAAACAACTTTTGAATATCTCCAAGGAGAGAGACTCCTCAATCTCCCTGAGCAACCCGTGCCTTGGCTTGATGACCCTCACACTGAAAAAGTGTCTTCTGGTGTTCAGAGGGAACCTCCTGTGTTCCAGCTTGTACCCATTGCCACTGGCCCTGGCACTGGGCACCACTGAGAAGAGCGTGGCTCCATCCTCATTACCCCCTCCATCCAAGACTTGGACCCAGGGCTGCAGGTGAGGCCTCAGCCGTGCTGAGCAGAGGGGCAGGATCACCTCCCTTCATCTGATGGCAGTAGTCTGCCTTATGCAGCCCAAGCTCTTCCTTCATTTTCTATAAAAATGGTCCCTACCTGCCTAAAAGATTCATAATTATTGATATAAATTGATGCTAAACATTTTTAAAAATCTACTTGTTAATATTCTTAGACTTGTCATCCATGCATTTGCAGTGTTATCCTTGCTTTAATTAATCAGGTATGAGGATTTAATATATTTTGAGTTTTCATCATCATCATCTTTATTATTATTATTATTATTATTATTATTATTATACATCATTTGTGTAATAAAGATCATAGAGTCCTCTTGTTTGTGAGAACTCTATTCCTCTTACTTTTTCCTCACAGTCCTCTGATGTTCTTAATCTTTATTCTTCTCTCCAGTACACACAAGCATCACATCCATAGGGAAATGATAAGCAAGGATCTGACTTAATTTCTGAGTATCTGTCACCAGTCAATGCCTCATACTGACTCCATACAATTGTCTTGCTTTGTGAATTATTTCTGCCCTGCTGTCTTCAAAGAATCTGCCAAATGTTGATTGTTTAACATAAGAATTAATTATGACATTTGGTAGACCTAAGTGCTTTTTTTCTTCATCATCAGAGGAAAATAGAATTTAATTTTAAAAGATATTTAGCACAACAGACATTAAAATGGAGGCAATGAGTCTTGTGTAAATAATTAATCAAGGGAAACACTGTGACTACTGAGCTATAGAGACTATGATC